AAAATCTGGCGATTTTTGTAACTTAAGTTAATTTGTGCTTTGTAATTTGAGCAACTATCTACTCAATCCGACAGCTGCTGCTAGAGACTGTCCGAGTTGCTCACTATATTTTTGTATATACATATTTTTTGATAGTTGGCACTACAAGACTATTTTGGTACTTGACAGAAACTTAATTAATGCATTATAAATTCTTTCATTTCCATTGGCTAAGAGACTAAGGTTATGAAACAAGACCTGTATATTAAGATCATGTGATTGCTAAATAAAGTGATCTGTTTCATCTTTGTATTTTTGGCATTCGAAAAAAATAAATCACCTTTTTTGCCACAATTTTGACAATGATTATTTTCGAGAATATCAGTTTTATGTATACGGGTAAGATAACAGGCGTGGCCAAATCAAAGACGTGTTAAAGTTGCGATATATTTTCTTGAATAATTATATGGCAAAAACACGTTCATGTTGTAACCAATATTCGTTCCAAATTTTGAGATATTTCATTTCAATATAAACCACTGCTTCACAAAAACTTACAGGTAGTTTATGAGTCAAACCATTTTCTATAGTTTTTTTGTCTGACAACAAAATTTACTCGTTATGTTAACACCGGGACATTTACACCGATATGTGCTTTAACCTATACAAAATTAACGTTTTTGTTAACTTTTTGTAGTTCTAAAATCAGTTTTTTTCTAAATTGCATATATGATAAAATTGGAGGAGTAACTTTGGTTAGTGTAGAGTGTTACAAAGACAAAGATTCATAGATTTCAATAGCTTTAACATTAAAAATAGCAAATATGTTATCCAGTTTGTAGGAATAATTATTATTATTGGAAGAAATATAAAAAGTGTATCCCACACCATCCTTGGACTTGAAAGTATCGGTATAGATTGCCACAGAGTCTTCGAAGCTTGCAAGTCCTGAGTATAATAAGTTAATATTAATGTAAAAATTATAACTTTATAAAGGTTTTACAATCTGGATATTAAGAAACAACAAACTGGGACGTAGTACGTCTGTTCTTGTTGATAATAGATCGCCATTCAAACTTCTACATTGATTTGTGTTTGCCTTGAATTCTTTTCTGTTGATGTTAACTTTCTTATAGAATGTTCTGAATCCTTTTTCTCTGTTGAGGTTTTCTATATATTGAAGTTCCCTTATTAAGTGGTTTCGTTTCTTCATTCTGTGTATTTTCTTTTCTTCTCTTCTCTTGGTCTGGCAATTCTCTACACTTGTTCTAGTCCGGCGGGTAAGCATTTTTGCATAAGCTTAATTTTTTTTTCTGTGTTGCGTCTTTGCATTCATGGTCAAACCAGTAATTTTTTCGGGTACAAGTTTCTGTTCCTATTTCATCTTGTGCTGCTGACTCAATATCTTTCTTTATCGTGTTTCAGTAGGAGTCTATATCTCTCTGGTCTTCTTCGCTTGGTCTTTGATTTCTTAACCTATTGGTAATATTTTCCCAGTACTGTTTTGCAGCAGTTGCATCTCTCAGCTTCGGTACATTCCATTTCTTTGTATCTATTTTTTTTTCTTTGTTGGAATTTGAAATTCTAGCTCTTAGTATTAAGATCACTAAACAGTGGCCTGAATCTATATTTGCGCCTCTATAACTTCTGCAGTTCATTATGTCCGTACCGTGTCTTGAATTTATTAAGATGTGATCAATCTGATTAGTTGTTCTTCCATCAGGGGAGGTCCAGGTTACCTTGTGTATATCCTTATGTTCAAAATAGGTGCTAGCGATGATCATATTTATTGAAAGATAGTGCATTCAATTATACGAAATCAACTATAACTTAAAAATATCAATTACAAAAATCATAGCATGTGATTAGTGTTTTAGGTTAAATCTTCGTATTTTGTGCTAAGGTATCTATAGTGACTATATGGATAACTGTTAATGAAACACCCTGTATAAATAATACTAAAATATGAATGATGTATCCTCGATATATTTTTGACTTATCCACTAATCGTGACATTTTCTTTCTATTCGTTTCAATTCTATTCAAAAGGTCTCCAAACATCCATTTCCGTAAATATGACAACAAGAGATGTAACAAATTTTGTATTCGTCAAATACAACAGTGCTCAACAATAATTGATAAGGATCGAAGTAATATTTTACTCCAGAAATAGCCGAAGTTTGTAAAAATTTAATATAGTTAAAGTAATATTAATACCCTGTCTTTATTATCAATTTAAAACGAAATAAAATAATTTTTGCCATTATGGCCATTTTTTACTAGGGTCAGCAAAAAGTTGAATATTAAAGTCGTGTATTTTCATTTATTCTATCCAAGTCATTATACTAGGATCTTAACAAATTTTTAAAATTTTTTTAATCCTAATTATGATCATTACCAATTATTGAGCACTATATTACGATGGCGTCCGAATATTTTCTGGAACAGTCATAAGGGCAAATCATTGAATGTTAGTGCAAAATTGCAAGTGCTCCGTATGTAAGAGAGTGTTAAGTTCGAAGCCGGCTCTGCCACGTTAAGGCCGACGATGAACTAGCAACGCTACAGCGTTTTCTTCCATTTGATTAACATTGTCCGTAAGAGCCAACGCTGAAATCTACTGGTGAATCCGAGTTTAGTTACAGAGGTAGTCATAGCTCGAGCAATATCTTGGTTTTCCCTTTTTCCACTGTGAGAAGCGGAACGGAGTGGTTAGCAGGTAAAGGTTGAGATGGTTCAAATCTGAAGGTAAAGATGAAGGTGGCTAAACAGAGTTAGAAAATACACCAGGAGAGGAATTTGCTGTCCTCTTTTTATTAAAAACTGAGTAATTAATCGAGTTTTGGCGAAAAGTTGGATTACAATTGGTACTTGTAGCTGCATTAGAAGTAGATTGCGTAGATGTCAGGGACATCATATTTTGTCAAATATCAGTATAATTTTTATCGTAGTTGGATAAAATTTGAAACTTATTTTGATGTAGAGCCTCTGAGTACGAGTTTTTAAAACGACAAACAAATACAATTTTTTAAACCGGAATATCTTTAATAATCTTACAATAAATGCAACTAATGTTTAAATTTTTTGACTTCATTGGTTCCACAACAAACACATAGATTTTGGGAACTTCTACACTGTTTTGAAATATGGCCGTATCGTAAACACCGAGTAACCCACTGAGTAACCCTACATACAAATTATTCGACTTAACAAACAATTCGATTTATAATAAGATACTGAGGCAGTATATTAACCTTTACAGTTCGTTTTGCAATGTACTTAACGAACCTTTCTATGCATTTAAATATTTAATATACGTGAAGGAGATTAAATATTTTCCTATAAATATACACTATCAAATTAAGTATCAATATCCCAAATTAAACTCTTGCTATCTAATAAGTGACCCGGAATAAAGGCTTTTAAATTTTCTTGCTTTAGTTTACTATTTTTTAGTTTACTAGTTTTATAAGTATATTTGCGTCATGTATAGTAGCTATTGCCACCTTAATTATATTCCTACCAATTCCTCTTACTTAAAGAATATTAGAAAATTTCTAGTTTCCTGTACAAAATATGGCCTATTGTAATCAGCCGTAAGCAATTAAGATCGATGTTATCTATCCTTTCCATAAACGAAAATATTTTCAAGATATAAATTATCTTATCTGATCTGAATTAATATTAAATCCTCTATTGGATACAAGCTTTTCTTCATTATCCATTATTTCAGATGACCTAACAACATTGTTACAGGCACTTAAGAGTGTGCTTGCGTCAATGCCATTCCCCATAGAGGAAAGTAACAAATTTTTAAGCGAATATGTTTTTATAAAACACTACAATTAAAAAAAAACTAGCCGAATAAAATTAGTTTTCAATTCAATTGGAATTTAAAATGAGGAGTAATTTAAAATGCGTATCCACACTTTAACAGTTATGTGACAATCTTCTATTTAGAGTTAATTTATGTAGATCTTTTTTTTCCACTTGCATTATTTGCATTGGAAACGGTTTTCTACCTTATTCTTTGGATTTTGTATGTATTGTACTAATTTCGTCTACGTCGTATCTTATTATTTCCTCAGCTTTACCTTTACCTATTACCACCTTTTGGATTACATCTTCGGTCAATGGAAATATAATCCATTGGATTTTTATTTTTTTGTGATTAACTTTGTTGTTTACTTGTCAACTTACTCGTGGATTTTCCTTTTGTCTACTTGTTCCTGATTTTGGTGCTTAGTCTCGTTTTTCTTTGAATATAATTGCAGTCTCTACAACTGGTTTTATCTTTTTATTGCTGGTCATTTGATGAATGAGTTTCAATATCCTCTCGTTTCGTTTTTTATTATCGTTGTCTTTTTTTCTAACCATTTTTTTTTTAAATTATCCGTTTGGGCTTGCATGTTGTCTATGCGTTTGCCGTAGTCTGCATGCATCTTTAGGATCGTGCTGTTATCGATTATTAGGAACGATTTAAAGTTTTCCTTGTAGATATTGTTTTGTCTTATCACTTTTATGTCTTTGCCCTTATTAAAACTGATGTCTGAGATATTACCTTTTTCTTTTGTGTTCTTTTTTTTTGTATTCTTTCTGTTACTATTTATTTTTTCTTCTTCGCTATCGTTAGCGACTACCGTTTCTTCATCACTTTCATAGAAATCAATCATGCAGTTATTATAACCCACGCTGCTGATCATTGTCTGACTCTCCAAATACATTGGTTGTCGCACATATACTTAAAAATTGGCGAATGATCCCACTACAATCCTTAATTTTTCCAGCTTACAAATCAAGGACTTTAACCGGCACTTTTCGTGTCTCCACTCTGTCACTATTTTCTCGATTTCCAAAAATTGCATCGCTTGCTATTCAAAGGTCTCATCGAGTTGTACAGCTCAACTATCAGCTTAGAATTTGGAAATGAACTGAAACTTATTGATTAGAACACCTAGTTAAATATATTGATAGCTCTTATTAAGTTATTTTGTTTTTGCTTGTGATAGAATTGCATAAATATGGTAAAAAACTCCATACTACTGACTACTTATAAAACAAATATGTGTGAATTGTGACGCAGCGTCACAAAGCATCAGGTACCTGAACCGAGAAATGATATAAAGCTGTACATCAACATCAAGAAAGCTGGGTGTTAAGAACAAATGTAGGATATTGTTATTTTATTCATTACTACATGAGGAAAAAAATAGTATAAATTAACAGCTAAAATGGTTTTGGAACTTTTCAAACAAGATTAAACCACAATTAACTTTGTTGAAAATTAAATAATCCCCATTTGTAACATAATAAATTATGTCATTTTTATAAAAATAAACATTTTAAACTAAAATTGTGATTAATTTCCAGTAAAAATAGAGTAATGTACGTGAATACCTTTTGCACTATTTTTCACAATTTTACGTTAATAACAACGTTTTTAAATTTTTATTACAATAATAAATATATTTCCAAAGTGTACAAGTTCAAATTAATAATGTAACAATAAATCACTAAAAACTTTGTTTTTAAAACTTTCACAAAATGTATTATAAAATTTTATCACTACAGCTGCTCGGCAGCTCCTTTCGAGTTCCTTTCTCAAGTTAAGTCATTTGAGAGTTTCTGGGCAACGATTTTGTCAGTAAACATTCGTGTAGCATTAGATACAAGTTCAATTTCTTGAAAATCGATGACTGCCAAATTCCTCTATTTCATACCTCATTCAAATCTACTAAAACAAACAATATAAGTCCAAGTGTAACCCTTATCCCGGCAACACATTTTACTTACGTAACCGGGCAACTCTGGTCCGTTGGGCCTACCACTTTTCTGGAATCTACTATTCATATTTACCCATTATATTTTTAATATTCTTTTTTGATTTTTATTAAAGTTAAATTCAAATTGTCTACATGAAAAAAAGGTGCTACTATAGTATGAGGTCTACCTCGAGGGTGCGATCTAAAGGATTTGAACAAAATATGTAATATACATGTGGAGTCCAATACAGATTTAATCAATAAATAAATAAAAACTTTTGTAAATCTACCAGGTCATTTTATTTGAAAAGAGGGGTTGATGTTTACGCATACCCTGGAAAAATATTACAGTGTTATTGCCTTTCATTATTGTGTGAAAACTCGTCTGAGAATAGATTATGGTAATTAACTGCTCATGTATAAAATACTGACAAACACAATCTTTACAAAATAAATAAAACACATAAGTCAGAAGAATATTATTATTTTACTTATACCTAATACTTCGTCATATTAATTTACTATTTTAGTTGGGACTAAGCCACAAGATTAGCTTATACCCAACTGGAATAGCAAAGTGATATGACAAATTAAATTATTATTAAGTATTAGGTTAGAAAAACAATATAAAATAAAAAAAATCATAGGTTAGTTATTTATTTTTCTTTGCTGAAATACTTACAAACTTTTTTAATTATATATGGATCGTCACACAGTTCTACTGCATATTTCACAAATTTGCTTTTGTTTCCTCTTCTTTTTTGTTGGATCCATGAGACACTTTTTCTTGTCAAAACTGGAGGTTTTTCTAGTTTTTGCTTTTTATTGTGTGGCTCAACTTCCTGTAAACCCTTTTTAATACACTGTTTTGATTCCCATTGTTGTCCCCTTGACTTTCTTCACAAAATTTAAGGCGACACTATTTGCCTTAAATTACGTTCTGCTGTCGTTGCAAGAAAAAATCTTTACTTTTCATTTTTGTTTTCGTTAGATTTTGAATGTTAATTTGTCTAAGTAATAAATCAGGCTACCTCAGCCACATCTACAATATTCATAAAAATGTAAAAGGCCAACGGTTAGTTTGTGTTTTGCACATATATTTATGAACCATTTGGTCTAGCGTATCGACATCACATTTTGTACTATTATAATAGAGTATGATATCTGGTTTTTTTGTCAGCATCATCTGCACAGTAAGCATTGTATGAGGATACTTTTTTGTTTTTTCGGAACCTAAGAAACAAGAGATGCTTTTGGAGTGAATCCAAAAATTGAAGATTTCTCTATACGGTCAACAAATCTCTTATTTTTCTTTTTCACTATATTGCAAAATTATTGTCTATAAGTTTATATTTTCAATTTATTATTTTGACTTGAGACATATAACTAATATTATGAGATGTATAAAAATATTTGTGTAAAAATTATTTACAAATTAACTAATTTTTTATTGATTTATAATGGTATTTAGGATGTCAAATAAAATGATATTGAAATAAGAGTACAACGGATAATTTGATTTATTGATAATGATAATTTGTTTATTGATTTGTTGAATGCCAATGATTGATTGATAATTTGTTTGGAATTCGCCATTCGTCACAACTACCCGAAATCAGAGATTACTAGGAATTGAAATAAGGTTAGATAAGAACAATTAGAAACAATAGAACAATAATTAGATTCTACCTACCTATACGGCTACATCGATTTCCTTTTAGTAATTAATTGGATTTAGTTATATACCTGAATTTCTTTGAAAGGTTTTGACAATATATGAGGCCCAGAAGTCAAGGGGTCTAAGTAGCAAAATCAACATTTTGAGAAAACTCAAGTCAAAGTCGGACGATTATTGTAAGAGGAAAAATTAAAATTACATAATTTTAACCAGGTAAGAAGGATAATCAGATCTTTGGATTTTTATTACCAATAGCAGCAGAAAATATTACAATATTTGGTGATTGTTTTATGTATAAAAAATAATTGATGGTGCGCACATAGATCCCTTTACCTCTCATTAATTTTGTGAGAATGAAAATGCTGAATGTGCACAAAAATACATAAGTGGTTTTATTTTATTATTTACACAGGAAGGTATTAAAACCGAAAATATTATAATATGTTGGCAATTTAAACTATTTAATTGCTGTCGTCTGTGCCATAAACATTATTACCAAAGTGATTATCATCATTTTCATTGTCTACAAAAGTACTTGTAGCAGGCTTTCCCGTCTTTGTTTCGTAAAATAGGCTTTGGTAAAATTCATGGTATATCGGTGGGACGAATTGCAAAAATTCCATCAGATCTTCATACTTTTTGTTTTTAAGCTTGGGTTTTTCAATTACTGGATGAAACATGGGAAGCTAATCAGGAATTCTACCTGCTCGTTGTTTCTTCATTGGCAATTTTTTGTAAGGCATAATACCCTGAGCTGATGTTGTCTTATAAAAAAGGGTGTCTAGGTTTACCTTTCATAATGCAATATCTGCATTCTTCGTATACCTGGCACATTTTTCCGGAAGTACTGATTTAGTAAATGAAGATCAATAAAGTCTGCATCCATTAACTTAGTCACATTAAATTTTCTACTTACTAAGGCAGCCAGATTTATTTAGTCTTCTAATATGTAGATATCACGTTGGTTCTTCTTCTTTTTTAGTTCTATGATTCCAAAATCTTGATCACATTCATTGTAAGAATATCCAGTGACTAGAAAGTGGTGATCAACAGTGTCAATTCAGGTATTCTTAATAATATAAAGACCAAAATTTGACAATTAGGTGACTTTTGTTTTGCCCTCCACAGTTGTCACTGAACGCAGAGATGTGTTTCACAGTCGGAGGAAGACTCTGAACGAATTTTAACAAGCAAGAAGCTATCTCCTGGCAGCCCCTACCTGCCTTTCCTTCGTGCCATATGTACATGTAGGCGGTTTCACTTAGGTTGTGAATATTCAAATTGTATGTCCAGAGTTGGCGCAAGTAATAGGCCTCTAAATTTGTCACATAAGGTGTCGGCATCATCTTTTGCAAATCAAAACATATCGCAATTTGACTGTCATTCCTTAATAATTTGCACATTATTTTAGCTGCCTCTGCCTTCCTTAAATTAAGTTCTTTTTCAACTTCAGCTGCTTGCTTCTCACCAGGCGTGCCGTGGATAATTTTTATTTGTAACTTGTCACAAGTGACACAGGTGTCGGTGTGAGATCTGTGGAAGCTTAGATTGAATTTTGTTTTGAATATAAATCTGTAAAAGCTTTCTTTTTCAGGTTCCACATTTTTTATTCTCTACAAAATTTTTCATACCGTTTATACATAAATGGCACATTTAAGCCTGGTTTAAGTATCTTTGGTTTGGAGATTTAGCCCTACTGTAATGGCTTGAGTAAGTCGAAATGTTTCTTATATGCTCCATAATTATCTCCACTTTTCATGTTGAAATTTTGTTTGGCGTTTCCTTCTTTCCTCATTTGTCATGTTGTGATATGCCAGATGGATTTATCATTTTTTTAATAATAACATTCCTTATCCTTTTGTTAGAAATGTCTAGAGTTAAAAAAAAACCTTGCACACTCTATGACCACCCAGATTATAGTTAAATGATATGTCTTTATAACTGATGCTGTCGCTTTCTTCCCCGTGACAGGCTGCAATTGTAAGGCACCATTTAAAAACGATGTGTGAAGTTCTTAGTTACCTAGCTTCCAATATTCATTAAATATTGATTCCCTCTATTCGTAAGGAATCTTTTCATTGCAATGAAACTTACACCGATGATTATATACACGTAACTTTTTTGACTCGTGTTGCCTCATATTACGATCAAGATAAGCCTGCCCTGTGTTCCTCAATTTTTTTTTCTTATAACATCTTCATGTTTCCTCTCTTCTTAGCTTTTTTTTTACTTGTTGAGGTTCAAAAGGAAAAGTTTCGAATGGTGCAGATCTCCCTTCTTCTTCTGTATTATCTGAAAAATATTCACCGTTAATCAAAAAACCAAAAATTAAATTGTATTATTCATGTAAATGTTATGTTTTTATAATATAAATTTAATAAAATAACAAAGTGTGTCATTCCTCCTCAGATTTATTAAATAATGACATTTACCTTACTTGAAGAAGAATTACGAAATTGTTCATCATCCTCAGGATTATAATTTCTGTCTATTTCAGAATCATGGCCTTCTCCAAATAGTGGTCTTTCACTGCTACTTCATCACTTAAAAACTTATATTGTCATCATTTGCATCTTCACGATTC